AAACCCCTGCGTGTTGACGGGATTCATGTGAGGGGTGCTCCTCCCATCCTCTCATTCTGTCCGTGGATGTCTTTATCTATGAGGCGAGTTTCCTGGAGACAGCGTATTGTTGGGTCTTGTTCTTAATCCAATTTGCCAGTCTGTGTCTTCTGAGTGATGAATTTAGACCATTTATGTTCAATGTTATTATTGGAAATGATTTTTATTTGCTGTCATCTTATTTCTGGATTTTAATTTGAATGAGTTTCTGCTTTGATTGGCTATTCTTTTAATATTTATTTTTTAGTTGTAATGGGCACCATATCTTTGTTGGATTTATTTATTTATTTGATATGGTGCTGAGGCTCGAACCCAGGGCCTTGCACGCTCTAGGCGAGCGCTCTACCGCCGAGCCCCAGCCCCAGCCCCTGACTAGCTATTCTCATAGTGTAGTTCCTGCCTTTGCTGGTTTTCAGTTATACCTCTCATTTCTTCTTCATGAAGTATTTTATTGAGAATGTTTTATAGTGCAGGCTTTTAGTTGTGAACTCTTTTAACTTTGTTTATCATGGGAGGTTTTTATTTCATTGTCAGATCTGGACTTTAGTTGTGCTGGGAATGGTGTGCTTGGCTGGCTTCCGTTTACCTTCAGAGCCTGGTACACATTGTTCCAAGACCTTTTAGCTCTGGGGGTCTGGGTTCAGAAATCACTGAGATCCAGATTGGTTTGCCTTTAGATTTTACCTGCCATTTCTCTCTGGCAGCCTTTAGAATTTTTTCCTTGTTCTGTATGTTAGGCATTTTCATAATAATGTGCCTGGTGTGGGTCTGCTGTAATTTTGTGTGTTTGGGATCCTGTAATATTTCTGTATTTGATTTTCCATTTCATTGTTAATGCTTGGGTGATTTTCAGCTCTGAGCCTTCATCTATCCTGATAAATCTTATATTTGGTCTTTTCATGATATCCCATATTTCTTGGAAGTTCTGTTCATGGTCTCTTAACATCTTTTCTTCATGGTCAACTTTATTTTTAAGATTATATATTTTGTCTTCACTGCCTGAAACTCTGTTTTCCAAGTGCTCTTGTCTGTTGGTGATGCATTCCATTGAATTCTTAATTTGGTTTATTGATTCCTTCATTTTTGAGAATTGGTGCTTGACTTTCTTTCAGAGTCTCTCTCTTTATTGAAGTGATCTTTCACTTCTTGTATTTTCTCTCTGGTTCCAAATCTTACATCATCCTTTACCCCAGATCAGTTTAAGAACATCCTAAACTCATTCTCTGACATTTCTTCCACTGTGATCTTAATGGATTCTGTTGTTGAAGTACTTTGCTTTGTTTGGGGCAATTTGTTTCCTTGCTTCTTCATGTTGTCTGTGTGTTTGTCCATCTCACAGTGTGGGTCTGAGACAGTAGTTTGTACCCTGTGGGCTTACAGTGCCCTGAAGGTGTTCCTCACCATTTAGGGGAAGCAAATAATAACAACAGCCAATGCAAACAATATACAGCATTAAACAGAATAGTTCCTACTGTGATATCTACAATGTTAATTATCACGATAAACAGAAACGATGTGACCAGTTACTGTCCACAGTAAAAACAAAGTATGCAAAAGTGTTTCAGGTTTTGAACAGAGAACAAAGAGAGAACAGAAGTGATGTAGGATGTGATGATCATGAATGGGGAGGAGAGAAAATAGAAGTTAAAAAATTAAAGAAATATTGAAAGAGAGAACAATGGAGATTGGCTGTTAGCAGAAGAAAAGAGAGAAAGAGAATCAAGAGAAACAGAAAAGGGAGAGAAAAATTGCATATAAATAAAAATTTAGAAACATAAAAATGAAAGAATATAAGCCCAAACTGAATTATGCAAATTCAGTCCTCAAAATACTACTCCTCAAAACACTGGTCCATCAAAAATAAATGCCTTCACACAATGCTAGAAGTGAGAAAAACGAAACAAACATGACTATGCAGAAGTGTCCAGGGACCATTCAGGTCACAATTGAACAGAGAAGAAGAAGAAAGGGGGGAAAGGTCTAATGAAAAGCTACAGAATGGTTCCTGTGGGTCGGATGTTCTCGGCTTCCCTTCCCAGAGCACTGGGTGGGTTGTGGGGTGAGAGGGTCCCACAGGGAGGCCCTGGAGCAGGGGGGGCTTCCCTTCCCAGAGCACTGGGTGGGTTGTGGGGTGAGGGGGTCCCACAGGGAGGACCTGGGTTGTGGGGTGAGAGGGTCCCACAGGGAGCCCTGGAGTGGGGGGGTCTTCCCTTCCCAGAGCACTGGGTGGGTTGTGGGGTGAGGGGGTCCCACAGGGAGGCCCTGGGTTGTGGGGTGAGAGGGGTCCCACAGGGAGGCCCTGGAGCAGGGGGGCTTCCTCGGGCTCAGGCTGGTCTTGGCATGGTGATGGCCTGAAGATTCTAAGTCAGTGCCCTTCCCAGGACCAGCGGCTGCCAGTCCATGTGGCGGAATGGCCCTCCGGGGAGCTTCCCTGGGTGCCACTGTGTGGCGGAGCCAACCCTCTGTCCCCTCTGTCACCTGCAGAACCTGTGTTTCCTGGTCTCTCGGTTTCAGTCTCCAAACTCAATTAAAATATTCATTTAAAGTGACCATTTAAAATTCCTGTGGGATGTGTCTCCCCAGCTGGTCCTGCAAGTGTGGGGGCACTGGGGGTGTCCACAACCAGGGTCCCCTGTGTGAACCCCTCTCCGGGTTTGATGATCTCCTGGTCACTGAAGCCCCCACGGTGGCTGTAAAGCGACTCCTTCCTCTGCCCCTGCGGGAGCTGGGACAGGTGTGGCTCCTTTCCCACGAGGATGAGTGCGGCAGCCTTGGGTTCAGTTCACCTGTGACCCTTCCACGTCCGACACACTCAGCCTCTGAACATGTGGCTACCTTAATCCCCTGTCCCCTCCACTCTGCTCCGGGGTGCCCATTGGGCACGTGCCACTGCTGGTGGCAGCGCTGGGGATTTCTGCCTTACTTTGTCCCACCTCTGGGTCCCCGTCGGCCTTGACTGTGCAGAAGTAATGCCCAGTAAAGTCCACCCTTTTGCCGCCCACCGTGATGGGAGGCTGCCCAGGTGCTGTCCTGGTTTCAGGCCATGGAGCAGCTGGCCAAGCCACCTCCACGCCACCATCTTGAGTGGCCAGTGGGAGGTTTGAGTCCTTCTGTTCCGTGTGAAGTGTCCTCCGCTGCTTGTCCTCTTCCTTCTCCGCTGCCTCTTGGAATGGGGACCCTGATGGAGAGCAGGTCCCGTGTACAGAGCTGGTGGCTTCAGCTCTGCCCGCTGGGCCGTGTGGCCTTTCTGTGTTGAGGTCCCTCGTCTGAGCAACTTCGTGGAGAAGTGAAAGTGGACATGGCAGGTGTGGAGTGCCCAGGGGCCTCACAACAAGGTCACTGCTGCACGATGGCTTCTTGTGGCCCTTGAGCTGCGTTGGGGGCTGTTCTTCCTGGGGTCATGGGGTCCACCTTCTTGGGTCCTGCTCGTGAGCGTCCCTCTGGCCGTGGCCCCTGCTCCCTGCCCTGGGTCTCCGCTGTGACATGCTTGGTGAGCTGGGTCTCCAGCATCACCTCGGGGGGGGGCACAGGGTGCCATGCCAATGGCATTGGGTGTGGTGTGCCCTGGTGTCCACTCAGGGCCACTTGGGCTCAGATGGAATTTTAATCAAGATTGAATGATCTCAGTGGAGGGGACAGGAGCCACAGCTGAGGACCCCAGCCCCATCACCTCCTGAATTCACAGACTCTGGTGTCTGACCTTCATGAGGTTTCCAAGGTCACCCTCATCTCTGCCACCATCTATGCACTTCTGCACCTCACCCTCCGGTGACAGCATCGATGGCTTCTCCCACCCGGCTCTCCCTGGGAGGGGCAGGTGTGCAGGGAGGGGCTGCGGTCTGTCTCCCTCAGCCCCACCAAGAACACAGCCTGGGACAGCCACTCACTCCATGGGTGACACACTCTCATGGTGACAACCTTCCACTTGCAAATATCAGACACTGACGTCACATTCCACGTCCGGGCTTGTTGCTTTGCCTGGGCCTCTAGGACAGCAGTAGAAGGTTCCAGGGCCTGTGGGCCTGCCCGACTGACGTGGACACCTCATGAGCTAGATAATCCACAGGAATCTTTGGCCACCGTGGAAACTGGCTCTCTAACCTGTCCAGGACTGTGTGGCTCCGACCCAGCTGGGGCGGCCACGGGACCTGGAAAGGTTCTTGGAGGAACTGTCCACTGCCTGTGCTGGGCCAGGGATCTGGGAGGGGGCATGCTGACTGTCCCCACCCTGGGCCAGGGCTACTCTGCCAGGCTGACCCCCTGGGCACAGGCCTGGGCCACAACACGCCCCTCCAGCTCCTCCACCCACCTCGCTCCACACCACCTCCTGCTGGTCACCTCCATCCTCAGGTGCTGACCCAGGACCGCCATGCCATGACAGTGACCACAGGCTCTGGGGAGGCTCAAGGGCCAGACGGACAGACTGGTCTGTGCCCAGGTCTCACTGTCCTGATGCAGAGATGTCCAAGGAGCCCTGGCCTCCCTGGAATGTCCATCTCCACGGGGACGAGGTCTCCCTGTCCTTGCTGCCCACAGCAGCATCAGATCACAGAGACCAGCCACAGGGAGGGCCACCCTCGCCTGGGCTTCTGCCCAACCCAGGAGGCTCCACAGGCCAGGCTGGTCCACTGCGCCCAGAGGCCAAGGACACACAGAACGTGTCCCCGGGGCCAGGAGCCAACACCAGATGCCCTGGCAGGGGCCCACGAGGGGCAGGGTCAGCCCCCAAAGCAGCACCTTCCTTCCAGGTGACCCAGGGGACTCAGCAGGGCAGCAGCTCTGCCAGCACCAAAGGGGGTTTACGAGCTGAGCCCTAATGAGGGGCCTCAGGCGCCAACACCAACCAGGAAAGGGAAGGGCGCGGCTGGGCCTCCTGCTGGCCCCTGGACGGGTATAAAGGCCAGAGCCCTGAGTCCTCACACACTCACACACACTCACACACACATCCACACCCCCTCCAGCACACCCACCCACCCCCTCCAGCACACCCACCATGGCCGCCTCCACCATGTCCGTCTGCTCCAGCGACCTGAGCTATGGCAGCCGCGTCTGCCAGCCCGGCTCCTGGGATTCCTGCCCCGACTGCTCCTGGCAGGTGGACGACTGCCCAGAGAGCTGCTGCGAGCCCCCCTGCTGCGCCCCCAGCTGCTGCCAGCCCAGCTGCTGCGCCCCAGCCCCCCGCCTGTCCCTCCTCTGCACCCCAGTGAGCTGTGTGTCCAGCCCCTGCTGCCAATCAGTCTGCACCAGCTCCTGCACCCCCTCCTGCTGCCAGCAGTCTAGCTGCCAGTCTGATTGCTGCAGCTGCTCCCCCTGCCAGCCGTCCTGCTGTGTGTCCCTCTGCTGCAAGCCCGTCTGCTGCAAGCCTGTGTGCTGTGTGCCTGTCTGCTCTGGAGCCTCCTCCTCCTGCTGCCAGCAGTCTAGCTGTGAGCCCTCTTGCTGCTCATCCTCCCCCTGCCAGCCGTCCTGCGGTGTGTCCCTCTGCTGCAAGCCCGTGTGCTGTGTGCCCGTCTGCTCTGGAGCCTCCTCCTCCTGCTGCCAGCAGTCTAGCTGCCAGTCTGACTGCTGCAGCTCCTCCCCCTGCCAGCCGTCCTGCTGCGTGCCCGTCTGCTGCAAGCCCGTCTGCTGCTACAGACCCTCCTCCTGCGTGTCCCTGCTCTGCCGCCCCGTGTGCAGGCCCGCCTGCTGCGTGCCCGTCTCCTCCTGCTGTGCCTCCTCCTGCCAGCCCAGCTGCTGCCGCCCGGCCTCCTGCGTGTCCCTGCTCTGCCGCCCCACCTGCTCCCGCCCGGCCTGCTGTGGTGTCTCCTTGGGCCAGAGGTCCTGCTGCTGACCAGCCGTGTCCCCAGGCCAGTGGGCTCAGGTCCCTCCTCCCCACCCCCGGGTGTCCTGACCCCAGCCTGCAGGAGCTCACACAGTAGGACCAGCTCCTGCCCTTCCTCCCCCGTCCAGCCCAAGTCTGAGGCCTCAGCCCTCCCTGGCTGCTCTCCGGCCCCACCCATGGGAGAGCTGGCTGCTGCACCCCACTTCCTGCTCCAGGCCACCACCCTCCCCAGTCGGGACTGGGTCCTCCTGACCCTGCTCTTGTCCCCAGAAGTGCCACTCTCTGAACATCAATAAAGCCTGTGCCCCACACTCTCTCTGCACTGATGGACACTGCAGGGGAGGGGCAGGGTGGGGACTGGGCCTCTCGCTCTGGGACCCTCCTCGCCTCACCAGCAGTGACGCTTGAGGTGACTGCACGTGACCTGGGGGTCCTGTCCTCCTCTGTCTGTGTTCTGCTGTTGCACTGTCCATGTCCTCTGGGACTCAGGCTCTGTGCACTGGTCATGCCCCCTGGACACCACGTCTTTCCGGGCCCAGGTGGGCAGCTGGGGTGGTGACCCCACAGCTATGCTGGAGATCAGAGGTGAGGGGTCTCCAGCCTCGGCCCAGCACCCAGAGGGCTCCATCTGGGAAGGTATGAGCGTCCTGGGCCTTGCACGCCGTGGACACACACACACAGACACACACACACACACACACACACTCACCTGGGCACTCAGGGATGCCCAGGCCCCATCATGGAGGAGCTGCCAGGTGGGAGAACAGAGAGGCAGCCCCAGAGCCCACCTGGAGTTGGGGGGGACACAGGGGCACAGGGAAGGCCATGGGCTCGGGAAGCCCGGGAAGCCCAGGAAGTGAGAGAAGGAAACAGTGTCCAGCCAGGGGCAGAGACGCATGGACACGCAGGGCCAGCTGCGCAGACAGGCCGCCCAGGCCAAGGGAGTCCGAGGACAGTCTCCTGAAGTACAGGGGCAGAGGAACACAGGGGGCAACTGTGCTGCACTGTCCCCCAGAGGCCCAGCCTCAACCTCTCCAAGGATGGAGCCCACAGTCGCAGCACGACTCTTCATCCATCACCATTTGAGAAGGACACCGTCCCTGTCACTGCTGGGCCAAGGTGCGTGGCATTCTACGGGGAACTCCACGCTGTCTGCAGAGGACGGGCACGTCAGCCCTCGGGCTCGACCAGGCCAGCAGGGCTGCAAGAGTGTCCCTGCCCTGTCCCTTGTGCCCAGGGCCAGCCTTCACATTGTCCACAGCCCCAGGAGGCTCTTCCAGAAGGCAGGACGTGAAGCGCGAGCAGGACGTGGAGGAGATGGCCGAGCAGACCACCCAGGCTGGCCCAGGCACCCAGCACAGGGCACAGACACCTGCAAGGCCAGGGGGGGGGGACATCTTTTGACTCCAGTGTCCCAGGAGCTCAGGTCAGTCTCTGGACACTAACTTGGTGGAACTGTGGCCCAGCTGAGGAAGACTGCAGTCATGACAATGCTACTTCAGAAAATGGTCACAACAACCCTCTGCAAGCCCCAAACCAGCAGCCACAAACTGCACAGGAGGGAATCTGATGTCCGGGACTTTCCCATTTTAATATTCACGGAACAGCTTTCAGCGAAAGTCATGGGGCAGGTCAGGGAGCAGGACCTGTCACAGAGAAGTAAAAACCAGGAGAGAAACTGTCCCTGAGGAGACGCAGAAATGGTGCTTTTAAAGTAAGGCTCTGAACGCAACGAAAACCACCCTGAGGTCCCACCTCCCTCCAGGCAGAATGGCCGTCATCCAGAGCAGAGGCAATAGTGAGTGCTGGTGAGGGTGGGGAAAGGCCCCCCACTGCTGGTGGGACTGATGGTGGTGTGACCCCTCTGCAGAGCAGAATGCAGACGCCTCAGAAAACCAGGAATGGGGCCACCATTTGACCCAGGGTCCACTCCTAGGTTGATACCCCAAGGACTTAAATCAGCACACTGCAGTGACGCAGCCACATCAGGGTTTACAGCAGCTCAACTCACAACAGCTGAGCTACGGAACCAGCCAGGTGCCCTGCAACAGGTGGATGGCTAAAGAAACGTGGGGCACATGCACAATGGAGACTCAGCCTTAGGAAAGAATGAAATTATGGCATTTGGTGGAGAGCAACTGGAGACTATCACACTAAGTGAAATAAACCAATCCCCAAAGCCAAAGGCCAAATGTCCTCTCTGATGCATGGAAGCTGACTCACAGTAGGAGCTGGGGGGAGGAGTGGAGGGTCCCTGGGTTGGATGGGGGAGGGGGAGGGAGGGGGGTGGGAACAGGAAAGACAGGAGAAAGAAGGGGACATAACTTTCCTGTGTTCATGGATGAGTGCGTGGGCAGTCTAACTCCACGTGAGGTACCACCACAAAATGGGAAGTCACGCATCATCACGTATGTGCGCTATGTCCAAATACAGTCTACTCATGTATAACCCAAAGTATTTACAAAGCAGAAAAGTTATAAATAGTCTCTAAAAAATAAAGTAAGTCCCTTAAACATACTCATGAAACTGAAATCTAACTATGGACACAGAAGTGAAAGAATCCAGGAGAATGATGTTCCACCCAATATAGAGAATGTCAATAAAGAGAGAGGGAGGGAGAGGGAGAGGGGGAGGGAGAGGGAGAGGGATGGAGAGGGAGAGGGAGAGAGGGAGAGGGAGGGAGAGGGGGAGGGAGAGGGAGGGAGAGGGGGAGGGAGAGGGAGAGGGATGGAGAGAGGGAGGGAGAGAGGGAGAGGGACAGGGAGAGGGAGGGAGAAGGAGAGAGGGAGAGGGAGAGGGAGGGAGGGAGAGGGGAGGGAGGGAGAGGGGGAGAGGGAGAGGGAGAGGGAGGGAGAGGGGAGGGAGGGAGAGAGGGAGAGGGAGAGGGAGGGAGGGAGAGGGAGAGGAAGGGAGAGGGGAGGGAGGGAGAGGGGGAGAGGGGGAGAGGGGGAGGGAGGGAGAGGGAGAGGGGGAGAGGGGGAGGGAGGGAGAGGGAGAGGGAGGGAGAGGGGAGGGAGGGAGAGGGAGAGGGGGAGAGGGGGAGGGAGGGAGAGGGAGGGAGAGGGAGAGGGAGTGAGAGAGGGAAAGGGAGAGGGAGAAGGAGGGAGAGAGAGGGGGAGGGAGGGAGAGGGGTTGATTTTAAAAATAAATAAAATAGAATTTCTGAAATTGAGGAGAACAAAAAATGAAATGAGAAATTTAGTCTAGGGTTTGGACATACGAGGAATTAGTGACCATGAAGTCAGGTTTATCAAGATATTCTCACCTAAAGGACAGAACTTCTAAGTGAATAAATCTTAGGAGACTTGTTGGCCCGTCACGCATACCACACACATAACCAGAGTCCCAGGAGGAGAGGAGAGTGGGAAAGGGCAGACACTTTTGAAGAAATAACAACCCAAACGTCCCATTTTAATGAAACACCTGAATCTACACTTTTAAGAAGCTCAGGAACTCCATACAGAATAAACTCAGAGACCCACGTGGAGACGCATTATAATCAAACTGCAGCGTCAGAAACAGACTCTTTAACGCAGCAAAGAGAAGGTTAGGTGCTGCTTGTCACAGGACATGGAGGCCACAGGCAGGGGCCGGCCCATTGGCAGGGCTGGGCAGGGGAGCACTAGGGTACCAAGGGGAGGTCTGCCGCAGTCTGGCTGGGCACAACTCAGGAGCCACTTGTCAAAAGAAAGGAACTTTATTTTTAGAACCACACACCAAACCACCCAGCTCCTCAGGAAAACCCTCAGAGCCCAACTGCCACCACCAGATTCCCACAAGCCTCTCAACCCCCCCACTCCTCCTGCTCTTGAGGACGATTGGCTGGGTCACGTGGGCGGAGCAAAAAAAAATCCCCCAATGAGCAGCTCCGTGGTCTGAAAGGGCAGGGAATCAGCCTAATGAGCATCACCACAGAGGAGCCAATCAGTTGGCAGCTGGTAGTTTGCTGGGGCCCATTGGGCTGTGGCTCTCAACATCTCCCCCTCTCTGTTTAAACAACAAGCATGTGGCTTAGGGACTTTGCCTGTCTTAGGTTGTCCAATAGTACATATGGTCCTTACCCGTCATCGGATGAGCTGACCTCAAGGCGTCAGCCTCCTGTCTTAGATTGGTACCATTGCAATTGGATCTTACCCGTCACTGACTACCGGTCCAGTATACAGCCACACCTGTAGATAGGTCTTTGTACCAGCGGGGGGGTGAGGTTCTTTGCCTCACCTCTGTTGGCCACCAAATTTTAGCTGAATGACCATCACAAGCAGAAGGGAGGAAGATACACCAAGCCAATTACCACCGATGACACCATCAGCAAAACTACCCCAACACTATCACAAGTCGCTGCACCAACACATAGTTCACAATGCATACAGGTGAGTTCACAATGCATACAAGTGATACATAGTCCAGGCAAGTTCTGCAAGCACTTCAGTGATAGCTATTGCAGAAGCTGTAGATTGTTTTTATTTTTGTCTTCACCCGCACTGGGATGAAGATAGGAATTCTGGCAATAATGGCTAAAGAAAAAATTATGTAACATTCCAGAAGGCATTAAATGAAAACAATTTTCTGAACAATTTACATTATCTTGAACAGAATTATTAAATATAATGAAAAGGAAAGGTGAAAGTAAACAAACAGATCTGTTAACCTCCTTTTTTGTTCACATATCAAAACAATCCTCAACAGCTGTTTACCCAATTTAAATTAAACCATTTAAATCACGTGAATAAAAAAAATTTGGATCCATTTTTTCATGAGTGCTCATCATATATGATATATGGACATACGTACATACAACATAAAACACAAGTGTGCACACATAATATAATACATACAACACATAACATGATAGTAAAGGCCTTATAACTTTTTACAGGTGAAATCTCCATTGCAATGTTTAAATACTCTATAGTCAAAAAAATAGAACTAATCAGCAAAACATTAACCTAGGTCTTTATGAGCTCAAAAAACAAAATAGATCTTCATGATGTGGGAAAGGGTAATAATAAAATAGATATTGAAAAAAGCATCCTGGTTCTATTGCAGATGTAAGGATAGCCAGACTGGAGTTTTGGATATCAGCTGTTATGGATTTGAGCCAAATCATCTTCATTTTGGTCTGTAGAAATCGCTTTAGTTAATCTCTCTGGAATCCAAATCGGCTGCTGTTCTCCCTGTGGAAACACACAAACAGACCCCCGACTCCTGACAATCACTGGGTCAGGACCTTTCCATTGTCCTGTTAGAATATCCTTCCAAAGTACCTTGGGCTTATGTACATTTTTTGGACACATATGCCTTTCCA